TTTTTTTTTTTTTTTTTTTTGAGATAGAGTGGCGCCATCTGAGCTCACTGCAGCATTCACCTCCTGGGTTCAAGTGATTCTGCCTTAGCTGGGATTACAGGTGGGTCCTACCATGCCTGGCTAATTTTTATGTTTTTTGGTAGAGACAGGGTTTTGCCATGTTGGCCAGACTGCTCTCAAACACCTAACCTCAAGTTATCTATCTGCCTCAGCCTCTCAAAGTGCTGGAATTACAGGAGCGAGCCACCGCGTCCACTGACCAAAAGCTCTTTATAGTGAAGAAATGACAAGGGAAGCCAGGGACAGATCAAAGGAGTTCACAATAGCCCTTCACCTATTACCCATCTCCCCACATGTGTTGTTAACACACACACACACACACACACACACACACACACACACAGAGTTTCTCTCTCTTTCTTTCTTTCTTTCTTGTTTTTTTTTCTCTCTCTCTCTGTCTGGGACAGACCACAGGACTTCAAAATAGCCCTTTACCTATTACCCATCTCCACACATGTGTTGCCAACACACAACCGCACCTCTCTCTCTCTCTCTCTCTCTCTCTCTCTCTCTCTCTCGTCCAGATTTGAGTATGGGACATAGGCTTCTTCTCCACCCATCTATACAGACCAGGCCCTGGGGCGGGGTGGAGCATGGTTGCCTCCGTTTCTACATCTCCTTGTTTTCAATCTGTGATGTTGATCCTTTTGCCACCTTACTCACTGTCTGTAACTTCCAGTGTCTCTCACCTCTGGGTTAGTACTAATAGCTCCCTTTCAATCGTAGACTCTTTCTTCCTCCCTGTCTCTCCCCTTTCTTATTGTATTTCCTTCTCAAATGTCCAGGCCGGTCTTTTTCACTATGTCCCTGTGCACTTCTCTGTGGGTCCTTCCTCTTTGCCCGCCCAGCCTACCCAGGTGGAACTTTTCCAGCAAATTAAAGGCAGGCAGGGGCCGGGCATGGTGGCTCAAGCCTGTAATCCCAGCACTTTGGGAGGCTGAGATGGGCGGATCACGAGGTCAGGAGATCGAAACCATCCTGGATAACACGGTGAAACCCCATCTCTACTAAAAAAAATACAAAAAACTAGCCGGGCGAGGTAGCGGGTGCCTGTAGTCCCAGCTACTAGTCCCAGCTACTCAGGAGGCTGAGAATGGTGTAAACCCGGGAGGTGGAGCTTGCAGTGAGCTGAGATCTGGCCACTGCACTCCAGCCTGGGCGACAGAGCCAGACTCCGTCTCAAAAAAAAAAAAAAAAAAAAAAAACCTGTAGTCCCAGCTAACAGTCCCAGCGCCCAGGAGGCTGAGAATGTAAACCCGGGAGGTGGAGTTGCAGTGAGCCGAGATCTGGCCACTGCACTCCAGCCTCTGGGCGAGCAGAGCCAGATCACCAAAAAAAAAAAAAAAAAAAAAGGCAGGCAAGACATTGGATTACATCACCCTCCAGCACATGACAGCAGATGTGTGTTCTGGGACCTCTGGAACTCATTACCCAAGGTGGGCCAGACCTGGCAAGGAGTAGCTGCAGGAGCTTCTGGACCTTGGAGGAAAGAGGGCTTAAGGATGTCCCAGGCTTTGGCAGTGCAGGGTTCTATCTCTGTCTGGATTCTGGTAACTTCTGTTCCTCTTTCTGGTCCTCTGAAATTCTGAACTCTTCTTCCTCCTTCCTCCTCTTGAGTCTCCACCCCCTCCCCCATTTCTCAGCCCTCTTGGGGGTCCGTGTCCCTCTGTCTCTGGGTCTTCACTCCACCCATCCAATGTCTGCAGGCCTCCATTGCCAGGTTCAGGATGGGCGGTTCTGCCACCCACAACAGCAACAACAAGCCAGCACTCACTTGGCTGGTGGAGGCGGTGAATCCATGGCCAGTGGCACCTGTTCTGCGCTGTGGGCTCTGACCCCACCCCCGTGGTCTTCCATTCTGGCAACCGAGATGCCTGATCCTGGGCCCAACTGGTGATCTCACCAGCACTGCGTTGTCACCCCACACCCACAGTGCAGGTGAGTTCACCCTAGGCTGAAGCCCTGCGGGACCTGGGGACCCAGAAAGCTAGGTGCTGAGTAAAGGGGATTGGGAGCTTGGACTGCTCTCTGGAGTTGGAGTGTCCTGGAGCCCTGGGTCTGAGAGAGGAGGCACCAGGGAAGCTGGATGCCAGGGATTGCAGAGAAAGGGCTGGGGGCCGACTGGAAGAGGTCAGAGTTTGGGGTGGAGACGGTGATACCAACTCCTGAGTCTTTCTAGCTGATGTGCAGCGCCTACTCTCCAGTCCAGGGTCGCGGACCCTCCACCTCCGGCTACAAAGCAGGATTCTCGCATCCGGGCTTTCCAGGAGGTCCTCAGCAGATGGGAGACAACCTCTGGCTAGGTCTCTGGCTCGGCTTACGTGCCCAAGACCCATGGCAGGCCCTGCGCCCAGCCCAGAGCCCAGAGCCTGTAGACCCCAGGAGGACTGGGGGATCAAGGATTCAAGAGAAAAGGTAAGGTTTAGGGAGTGCTGGAGTCCGCAGGGGACAGGGTGGGAGACTGCATTTGAGTCCCCTGCGCCTTCACATGGGTCTCCAGGTCGCCTTTCCGCACCTCAGAGGCCGCGGCTGGCGCCTCCCACTGACCACAAAGTACCACAGCGGCAAGAAGAGGGCGCAGTACACAGGCTCTCCCGACCGGGAAGCCCGCGCCCTCGAATACATGGGGCCCCAGCCCCCTACAAGTCGCAGACCACCACCGCGGGGGGCTGGGCCTCGAGGCCAGGCCAGAAGGACCATGGGCTGGAAACTCATCTTCAGGGCTCCAAAGCTGCTGCGGAGCTGGACAGCGGGCTGGGGATGGGGAGGAGACTAGAATATTCTGAGACGGGGTCAGGTGGGAGCTGGGAGAGGTAACATGCAATTGTTGCCCAAGATGCAGCTCAGCTCCAGTGGCCACACCAAGACGGTTTAAGACCCAGAGAGAAACCGGGGAGGGAGGTTTGTGGTGGCTGGGGGCCTGGGTTTGAGTTCCCTGACCAGCAGGAGGTGCTCGAACTTAGGGAAGTGAGGCTGGGAAGGGTTCGGGTTTGAGGAAGGAAGCTGAAGTTCCCTGGCGTGGGTGGCAGGAAGGGCTCTGACCCTGGGTCGGGGTGCGAGGGCGGTGGCCCTCATGGTTGTCGAGGCCGAAGGAGAGGGATTCTGAACTCGGGACCCAGGGCTTGGAACGGGGTGTGAAATCTATGCCTTGGGTATGCCTCCTCCCACAATCTTGCAAAGGCTCTAATCGCCTGGATGAAGAACCCCGAGCTGTCTGGCCGGCCTTTCACAGTATCCGACCGGGGCGTCCTGGACCACCGCCAGCTCTATCTGACCACCTCCGCCCGGGACTTTCGGTTCTATCCCAAGTAAGCCGGGCTCTCGCTCCGCACCGCCTCCTGCACAGACCCCGCCTTGGCCGGTGCTCGCCGAGCCCCTGGGCTGGCTTCCATTCTCTGACCCGGTGGTCTCAGCCTTGACTCCTATAGCAGCAAGAACCAAAATTCAGGCCCCAGTCTCTCCCTCTGTTAGCACCCAGGAGTCCTTAGTGTCAACTCTCAGGAACGGCGGTAGGGACAGGAAGCGTGCACAGCGGCTGAGGGGATTCTGGATCTGAGGGCAGGGCCTCCTTCCGTACTTGAGCCCCCACATACTCCTTCCCAAGGAAGCGAAAGTCCCCGTTTCCTTCCCTAGGATACGAAAGCTCTGTTTCCAGGACGTTAAGTACCTGGAGTACCCAGGAACGCAGGCTACGCGCGCCCGGTGCCGTCCTTCCTAAGGCGCCCTCGCCCGGAAATGCAGGAGTTTGGGTGTGCAGACTCCTTAGATCCCGAGGTCTGAACCTCGTCCCCAAGGATCCAGCTGTATGCTCACCATCCTGCCCTGCTCCCACAGGACGGAGCTGTCTCTGTACCCTCGCAAAGACTCCCTGATCTACTGGAGCTTCGAAGAGACGCCCTAACCCGCAGCGGCCGCCCTGTCCGCGCTCCTCCCGGCCGCCCGGAGCGCCGCACCGCGGGGCCCTGACTCTGGCTCAGGAATCCTACAGCCCCGCGCTGCACCCGGTCCGCCCGCTGGACCGCTTCCGCCAGCTGGAGGCGCCCTGGGGTGGCCCCCACTGTCAGCCCTTGCCGGGCATCCACAGTCTGCCTAAAGCCTACAGCCCCCAAAACTCCCGCTCCGGCAGCTTGAAGTCGGCGCTAGTGGGAGCCGGCCGGGCCAGCCCCACCCCAGACACGCCCCCGGGCCTCGGGGCGGAGCCGAGCTCCGGACCTCCGCCCACTACGCGGTGTCCGGACCTAGGTGGTCTCCTACTCCTTGCGTCTATCGGGAATGTGGGGGCCGGACTACCCTAGACACGCACACTCAGCTGCGGCTTCGCGAGGAAGGGACTAAGTTCAGATATAGTCCTGGGAGGCTGTGGCCCCGCGGGCACGACACACCCCCAGCGGGCGTGTTAAATAATGAGTTAAATTACCTGAACCACACGCATTTCCGGGGACCGCTCCGGGCATCCTAGCTTGAGGGTAGGGTGGGCGGAGGTCCCTAAGGGAGAGGTGGGACTCTGGCTGAATCCCTCGTTGGGGGGCATCTGAGTCAAGCGTCTTCCCCAGCTACACAGTCACGGGGAGGCCCTCGCGGATTGGGCAGGAGCTAAGTTCGAAGCCGCGCCCATCCTGGGAGGTTGGACTTGCGGGAATGCCTTAAGTGGAGGAGGATTGAGGCTTCAGTCCCGCACCTTTCTCGGGTCACGGCCTCCTCCTGGCTCCCAAGACCGCACGATAGGCAGAGGCAGGCCTTCCTACACCCTACTCCTGTGCCTCCAACGCCGACTAGACCCTAGCACTCGGAGTCTCCGAGGTCACTTCACCGTGGTCTCTGCCTCACTCTTCGCGCTGGACCACTGAGGGGAGAGGGCTGGGGCGCTCCGCTGAGCCACCCCTGTGCCTCCGTGGCCTTGTGCACCTCTCACCTCCCGGGGTGTTAGTGTCGAGGTCACCCCAGCATCCTACCACCTCCTGGTGGCCTTGCCGCCCCCACAACCCGGAGGTATAAAGCCAGGTACACGAGGCAGGGGACGCACCAAGGATGGAGATGCTCCAGGTAAGACTGCAGGGCCCCTGGGCACCTTCCACCTCCTTCCAGGCCATCACTGGCATGAGAAGGGGCAGACGCGTGTGAGCTGTGGAAGGAGGCCTCTTTCTGGAGGGGCGTGACCCCCAGTAAGCTTCAGGTGGGGCAATCCCTGAGGGTGGGGATCTGAAATGTTGGGGTATCTCAGGTCCTCTGGGCTGTGGGGTGGGCGCTGAAAGGCAGGTGTCTGGGTGGTGGGTCCTGACTAGGAGATGCCGGGAAGGGTCTCTGGGTCGTTGCTCGTGGTGTACTCGGGGAATGGGAGGGCCAGGGCACGGGGCTGCGGTCTCAGACCGGGCTGAAGCATTGTCCTTGTCCCAGGGGCTGCTGCCGTGGCTGCTGCTGAGCATGGGCGGGGCACGGGCATCCAGGGAGCCGCTGCGGCCACTGTGCCGCCCCATCAATGCCACCCTGGCTGCCGAGAAGGAGGCCTGCCCCGTGTGCATCACCGTCAACACCACCATCTGTGCCGGCTACTGCCCCACCATGGTGAGCTGTCCGGGGCCAGGGACAGGTGCTGCCACCTCAGGGCGGGGTCACAGAGGCAGCGGGGGAGGAAGGGCGGTCTGCCTGTCTGGTCGGGGGCTGGGGAATGGGGTGTGGAAGGGCGGGAACAGAGGGCTTCCTGGACTCCTGAGTCTGGGACCTTTGGGGGCAGCTGGGGAGCTCAGCGGAGGCGCTGGCCCCAGGCACATGCTCACTCCCCTATCTACACTTCCTCCAGATGCGGGTGCTGCAGGCGGTCGTGCCGCCGGTGCCCCAGGTGGTGTGTACCTACCGCGAGGTGCGCTTCGACTCCATCCGGCTCCCTGGCTGCCCGCCTGGCGTGGACCCCGTGGTCTCCATTCCTGTGGCTCTCAGCTGTCGCTGTGGACTCTGCCGCCGCAGCACCTCTGACTGTGGGGGTCCCAAGGACCACCCTTTGACCTGTGATGACTCCCACCTCCAGGCCTCCTCTTCCTCAAAGGACCCTCCCCCCAGCCCTCCAAGTCCATCCCGACTCCTGGAACTAGCAGGCACCCCGTTCCTCCCGCAATAAAGGCTTCTCAATCTGCACTCTGGGGGTGTCTTTCTGTGGACTCAGGGCAACCACACACACGCAGGGTGGGTCCAGCTTCAAAACCATTTTTTACAAAGTCACACTGTCAGATCTCTGGTAGAATACAAGGTGGATGGCTGGACGCCGTGGCTCATGCCTGTAATCCCAGCACTTTGGGAGACTGAGGTGGGCGGATCACGAGGTCAGGAGATCCAGACCATCCTGGCTAACATGGTGAAACCCCGTCTCTACTGAAAATACAAAATTAGCCAGGAGAGGTGGCAGGTGCCTGTAGTCCCGGGTACTTGGGAGGCTGAGGCAGGAGAATGGCGTGAACCCAGGAGGGGGAGTATGCAGTGAGAC